ATCCTGGGACATGTTGGTGTTAAATCCTGCCTGGTTCCTCAAACCCTCTCCTCTTTCTGCACCAAACTCCAAAACTTGGAAGTCCAGTTTGTGTCCAGCCACACCTCATTTCTTCTTGAACTTTGACCTCCACATTTTTTAAAATACCTGCAGGATGCAGAAGTTAAAGTAATCTCACTCTTTTTTTCCACTTGTAGGACTTTACTGAATATCCACACATGCACACATCTACCAGTTGTACACAAACCCATCTCTTCAATGCTTCACAACATGTTTTTTGTGATTTATTTGATTTATTTATTTGTTTTTCATTTGTTTGACAGATCTGTTTTGCAAAACCATTGACTTCAAAGCTTGCAGAACGACTTTATGCAGCAGCAGCTTCAAGTAATGACGTCATCGTCAGGCAGGGACTTCTCCCCTGCATGTTTCAAATAGTTGTCCCCGACTCAACTAACTCTAATGAATGGCTCCCGCACAACCCGATGACATGATGAGGAAGTAATTAAACCATTTGAATAAGGGGTGGTGGAGCAAGAAACTATGCAGTAAAAGCACGTCAGTATGACTTACTTTATATACTTTTTTGTTTGTTTTGTAGTCACGCACATTTCTTTTTTCAAGAAGCAACATTTTAAACAGTTAAAAAATCTATATTTTATTGCAAATACAAAACAATAAAACATACAAATACAGCTCATTGTGAGTACAGTGCTATTTCTTTTTTGTAATTACATCACTGGATACCGAATACAAAAATAGATTTTAAGTACACACATTCCCAAGTTGTGACAAATACTCAAACATGACAAGTCTTAATATTTATTGGGTAAAACATGAACAAATTCTGGTGCCTTTTGAGTCAACCAGCCAATGACCTGACTTCTACCTGAGCCAATGACTAGAAGTGATGATGAGGGGAGAAGACTCTTATTTTAATTATTTGCCAATGGGAGGAGGTGTGGCCTTTAATTAGGGATAAACTATTAGTGCAATGACGTTTTTTTACATCATTAACAGCTGATGTGTATGTAAAATCAAAAACCACCTCCTGTTTAACACAGAGCTTTTAATCCATCATACAGAGCTGATTTGTTGACCTTATTTCATCTCATTTAGCTCTTGACACAAAAACAACATTGCTTTGTCTGAATCATTGATGTAGCTGAACAGGTTTAGCAGATGGATCTGGGCGAGGCCTTTGGCTGACACTGTGCAGCCTCACAGCATGTCTATTTTCACATTTGACAAAAAAAATTCTGCCATGAATTTAGCAGCCACTGCGATTACAATATTTAAATTTCTGTCAGGGTTACGACGAGTTCAATCATGGACTCAGTTTCAAACATAAACAGTTTAAATTTCATCGCGGAACAGCAGAGTGGGGTCTATCTTTGTCTTGTAGTCTTCATCGAATGCTTCATTTTGGGCCACAGTGAAGTGATTCTTCCAATCACTGACTTTCCCTGGAGAAACACAGAAAAGTTAATCATTTCTGCTCTTTGAGAATCCATTTCTTCCCTGGCATCATATCAGCCTTGAACAAACCTTTCCTCATGAAGGGAGAAATCTTGAAATCCATGACTGGGAGAGTGGAGTAGTTGGCCATCTGGTTCTTCTTCATGTTATCAAACTGCACTCCACTTAAAACTTTTTCTTTAAGCTCAGCCGAAGGAGACAAACCCAGAAAACTGCAGAGTTTGTCTATTTCTCGTCCAGTGTTCTGGAAAGGCAGTATAAAACTTGATTTTTTTTTTTTCAAGCTGTGGCCAACCAGAGAAGAACTTTAGAAGGAAAACAACCAGTTACCTCTATCAAATCTTCATAGAACATGTAATGGAGGTTTGGATAGGTCTGTTTCTTCTTCCACCAACCGTTCACGTGGTCGTACCAGGATCCAAACGCAACTGAGCCACGTATCAACACAAGGAGAAGAAATTAGTTGTAAAATACATGACATACTGTTTTCAAAGCTTTTTTCTGGTTGCCTTTGCCTCTCAAAATCGTGTTAAATCAATTTTCTGAAAAAACTATTCAAATAGGCTCTCATTTGGATAGAAATGGATGAAGAGTTTTGCCTCTTTTTTTTTTTAGAATTTGTCTTTTTCAGTTGATGTTACAAGTATTTGATGATGATTTCAAAAATAACCAGACTACACCTTTAGGAGAGTATGTAGCATCTATACAACCTCAAGTGCGATGAAGTTGGGACTTTGTGTAAAATATGAACAAAAACAAAATATGATGATTTGCAAATCATTTTCAACCTATATTCAACTGAATCCACTACAGAGACAAGATATTTAATCTTCAAGGATTCAAGGAAGTTTTGTTGTCATTCGCAACACACATACATGTGGTGGAGTGAAATTCTGTACCCAAGGTCCCGGTCTTTTCAAAACAAATGTAGATAATAGAGAAAAACAATAAAAAATACTCAAAGATTTAAATTTTTTTTATAACAACAACAAAAATCAGACGTAAAATGTGTGCAACAATTGGATAAAAACAAATGGATAAATTTTATTGGCTTTTTTTTTTTTTTTCAAATATTCACTCGTTTTGAATTTGATGCTGCCACATGTATCAAAAAGCTGGGACAGAGGATCAAAATATTGGGAAAGTTGAGCAATGCTCTCAAAGCACCTGTTAGGAGTGGGGTTTTTTTGTTTTCCAATTGTTTATCTATCTATCTATCTATCTATCTATCTATCTATCTATCTATCTATCTATCTATCTATCTATCTATCTATCTATCTATCTATCTATCTATCTAT